GACCTGTTAGTGATGCCCCTGTTGATGCATGACAGGGTGTGGTTGGCTCTGCCTATTGCTTCATCGCATTGGCGACTCATATTCATCCTGGAGTCAATCCTGACGCCAAGATCCCTCTTTGCCTCTGTGCTGCCGAGAGGGTCAGCCCCTAACTTATAACCATAATGCTGGTTCCCTCTCCCCAGGTGCAGCACCCTGCACTTGTCCTTGTTGAACTGCATCCTGTTCAGATCTGCCCACTTCTCTAACCTATCCAGGTCTTCCTGGATGCGGTCCCTGCCTGCCGGTGTATTCACTTTACCCCACAGCTTGGTGTCATCGGTGAACTTGAACAGGGTGCTCTCCACACCCTCATCCAGGTCGCTAATGAAGATATTGAAGAGCACCGGCCCAAGGACCGAGCCCTGGGGAACTCCACTGCCCACACCCATCCACCACCACCCTCTGGTTTGCCAGTTTGCCACCCACGTGACTGCATTCGTCACGTGGGTGGCAAACTGCAGTCCCTCAGCTTGCTTCAATGTAGGGCCCCTGTTTTGTCTACACGCACCCAATTATGTCAACATTCCAGTCATATGAATCATCTCACCAGGTTTCAGTAAAGTCTATTTACATTAAATTTCTTCTGAATGATGGTTTCCAGTTCCCCTTGCTTGTAACCCAACCTCCTACCATTGCTGTATAAACAACTATCCATAACCTCATTTACCTAGCCCATTGCTGTACATCACAGCTAAAGTCACTATTTGCAAATATGGTAGGGCCAGATATAGTAAATCAGGGGCGGGCAATTATTTGGGGCAGAGGGCCGCTTACCCAGTTTTGGCAGGCTGTGGAGGGCCGCATGGGTAGCCCTGCCCCTTGACTGGTGCTCCACCCCTTGACAGGTGCCCCACCCCCTGGTCACCATCTTGGGACCAATGTCCCAGGGCCAGCTCTGGTGGGGCCCAGAGCAGAGTGCAGGCTGGCAGGAGTCTGCGAAGCTGGGTTGGGCTGCACCAGCAGGGAGAGGGGGGAGCTGGCCCGGCTCCATAGAGCCCCTGGCAGCTGGGACCCTATACTCCTGCCGTCCTGCTCTGGGACCTGCTGGTGCGGGCCCCGTGCTCCCACTGCCTCCCCACCCACTCAAACCTAGTGCCCCCCAGCCCCGTGGTACAGGCCCCCCCATAGCCAGTGCTCCCCGCTGCAGCTGCTCGTAGCTCATGTGGTGTTGGCCAGAGCAGGCACAGGCAGCCCCACGCAGGCTGCAGCGTGAGGCACTGGCCACATGGTGAGCGAGGCGCCGCTCTTCCCTGCGCTCAGCACCGGCTTGTAACCCACCCCTGCTGCCAGCCTGGCAGTGGGGCCAGGCTACAAGGTGATGCTAATCACAGGGTGGGGGAGGAAGGAACCCCTCGCCCGCCCCATGCCCTGTGCCCCATGCTGCAGCAACTTGCAGTCAGCCTGGGGCTGCCTGTGCCTGCTTCGGACAGCCCCGTGTGGGCTGCAAGCACCTGCAGCAGGGAGCATTGGCCGTGGGGTGGGCAAGGGGCTACTTTTCTCCGTGCAGGGAAGGAGCCCAGGGAAAAGCTGAGCACGAGGGGAAAAGCGGCCCCTCCCCCACCCTATGACTGGCGCTCTCTGCTGCAGCTGCTTGTAGCCCATGAGGCTGTCTGGAGCTGTCATTTTTTACAGGAACCAAGGGCAGAGGAATATGAATTTTCTACATTTTTAGGGGCCCCACGGGCTGGATAGAATGGCCTCACAGGCCGCATCCGGCCCGCGGGCTGCATTTTGTCCACTCCTGTAGTAAATTAAGCCTTTATCCTGCATGGCTTTCTCAGAAAATTGTGCTTAGTCAAATCAAAGCTAGCAGCCACTATGAACCACATTCTCCATGAGAAGGAGAAAAATGTAGTCTAGAAACCACCCTCTCCTGGATGCATACATTGGCTTCAGAATTGATTGGTATCTTAAAAAAAAAAAGAAGAATGGTAAAGAGTTACTTTAAAGTCCTGCCTATGGGAAGTAATTATAAGGAAAATGGATTTCTTAGAATATTGTTTTATAGGGTTACATCAGAATAAAATGCAACATAATTCTTCATAAGCTATCTCTGTATGTCTCTAATTTAGGGATAGGAAAAGTGAATTGTGGTGATAATTGCTGTCTATCATTAAATTACTCTCAATTAATTTCCCATTAAAGGACTTGACATTTCATATAGTCATGTTAGTATGGTGATGTTATTGCCTTGGTGAGCCTGGACGATATGCTCACCACAGAAACAGAAACCAGGAAGTGTAGCAAACTTTAAAGAATGCATTGGTATTTATTTTACCATGGCATTATACCCAATAGCTTATTTTATTCCTTTATGTTCCATATTTCTCAGATGCAATTTTTTTTCCATTTGGGAACCCAGAGTCCAAGTCCTTGCCCACCAAAACTGTCCTGGTTCAGTCCCTTCATGTTTATGATGATGCTTTGCTTCCAGGCACTGTCCAAGCCTTCTGGGATTATTTGCCAGTCTCATCAGGCTCTTCTTCAGAAAGTGACACTACACCTTTCTTGAGGCTGACTCACCTTTTCTTCTCCTGTAGTGATTGTGACAGTTCACTTGTATCTAGTTTGAAATAGTAAACAAGCAGAAAAATATAACTAACATGTTGAGATTGTTTTCTTTAAAATGCCCTCCCTTTTAAAAAAAATGGAATAATTGTACAAATAAGACAAGTTATCTTACTACTGTAGAAATTAACTCATCAAATGAGTGTTGAAGAATGGGGAAACAATTTCTTGCACAAGTGTAATTTCTTTCTTTGTCTGAATTGTTCAGCAGATCATATTTCTTCAAAATCCCTTGTAGAGAGTCTTCAGTTAGCCATTTCATGCCTTGATTTAGCACTGCTTTATAAATGCACAAATTAGTAGAGAAAGTTAATGTTTTTAGAGACGTCTGCTGCTGTCCTTCAGTTTTTGTTAATACTGGATAAAGGATCATTATAAAATGGGCATATGGAGGAAGGATGAGAGAGACATCAATGGTGGTAGTCTTCTGAAGAAATTTTAGCTATAATTATCATATTATTAGAACTGCATTTTTGGACCTCTCTAGTAGACCATATTAATGTTCTAAATTGTTTTCAAAAGGGAAAAAACTTCCCGCAAGCTGAACTGCAGAATAGGAAATAGTGTTGTTCAGCTGTTATACACTAAAATGTCTTGTGGTTCTTATTTTAAACAAGTCAGCATTGTCAGTGTATAGTTATATCATTTGTGGCCAGTAATGCAGACTTATTCATGAGAGTAACTTTACACACATGAGTAGTCCTATTGACTTTAACGAGGCTACTTTCATGAATAAAGTAACTCATGTGCTTTGGTCTTTGTAGAAATTAGACCTTCATTTGGTCAGCTGTGGTCATAATTCACTTGCCCTGTGTGCTATTTATAAAAAAGCTGGATCCTGTATCCCTTATGTACCCAGAACTCAAGAGTGAGTTTTATAGATATGTGAGTACTGAGGTCACAAGTGCATTCCCATAATAAAGCACTAGGTCTGGGAGTGGCAGAAAGGATGGCAAAAGTTTGACAGTAACCTCACAATGTGAGGAGGGTGGTGTTTATACACATATTGGTGACTTACAGTGATTCTTTACTTTTCTGACAAAATAAGGAAGGTATTCTTTTTCATATTCCCATTACAATGTGAGCATATAGTGCCCCTGAAATGAAGGATTAGGGTAAGGCCTTTAAGATGTGTTTTAAGGAGGAGGTAGGTAGATGGATAGCAGACATTTTTACTGTAATAAACAAAGGCATTAGAGGATCTGGTGGCTAGAAACTGAAGTTTGAAATAAGGTGCAAAATTGACAGTGAAGGTAATTAATCACTAAAACAATTTACCAGGAGATACGGTAGATTCTCCATTACTTGAAATCTGTATATCAGGATTGAATGTCTTTTTAATAGGTGAGTTCTAGTTCAACCGTGAGTTTTGAATTATTGAGCTTACTGGCTTGTGCTGTGCTGGAGGTTGGACTGTGTCCCTTAGCAACCACACAATATATATTCTGCCCTTAGCATCCATTCTCTGGCACTGAGAGTGTCAGGATACCGGCTAAATAGACCTATGGTCAGACTCGTTCTAGCATTTCTTATGTCATCACAAAGATCCTTTGTGATCTAAAATCTATGAAGCTTTGTTAAACTTAATGTCAGATTGGTCACAAATCTGTTTCTGGTTTGTTTGTTTTTAAATTGTTAATGGAAAATGTCCTTAGTATAATAAAATCATCCTTCTAAGAGTTTTTTTGATGGTATTGATGTTCTAACAGCATCCATCTTTCAAGCACTCCACATCATGTCATAGGCTTCAGTGTGATGGAGCTTTTGCTGTGGTGGTTCTAGTAATGCAGAATCCACCTTAGTTTCTAAAAAAAAAATTGTTATTCATGAAGTATTTTGATTTTTTAATCTGCCTTGACGCTCTAGGTTCTTAGATGAACCCCAATACATAATGAAGTCAGTAGCAGTTTTTTAAAAGAAATATTTGGGGAGGGGGTGTCTTATGTTTTTAATTTTGTGTGCAGCACCTGGGGGAGGGCAAAGAAACTTTATAAGAATGGTTCCATGAACAAAGGGGTCTTGTCAATCAGCTCTTTCTTGAAAGAACAGTGGTGCTTCCTGCTTGAGAAGGCATATTACTCAGCTGAATTTGAGATCAGAATTTTAAAAAATCTGACCAATTCCAGCTTAGTTGTATTTGGTTATAAAGATTAAAGTTTTTTCTTTGATATCTTAATAACACATGACTGTTACTTTTTTCAACACCAAGTGGGCAGCATATGATCTAGCTATTGAAATGCTTCTTTTCTTAATGTATATTAAAGAACATGCGATGGACAGAAATTCTTTTTACAATATAAACTATATATATCAGAATATAAGTACATTTTTATATTTCACATAGAAGCAAAAAGTGATAAGTATCACTTTTGTCTTGTTTTTTTCTACAGGCCAAAGCCTATCTGCGGATAGCTACGGAAATAAGAAGAAGATTACCAACACCTCCAGGATGAACTGTTCATCTAAGGGATATACGATTAGAACTTTTAATAAAGTGATCTTTCAGTGTAAGCAGTGGTAGAACAAGTGGCAGAAATATGTAATTATACATATTATGTTGTATTTGTAAGAAATACAATTCTGTTTCCTTTGGACTGACAAAATCCCTCCTTTGGATGTCCTCCGTTTTAATATGGAACACCAGCCTGTGGAAACTCCATTCCTGGAACACAAACACCTCTTTATCCAAGCACAGAGACCTGTAACTGTGGCAATGACATGTTGAAGATCATAGTTTCACCTGTATACCTTTAATAATCAATTTGCCGTAGTTTATTTATATTTCTGTTCAGCCTCCTTTCATTTAATTACTAGCATGGCCTTACATTGGGTAAATTTGGATGTTTCTATAGACCATCAAAAATGAATGAGTAGTCATTCACAAAAATGTAGGAGTAGTCATGCACTATGTAACTGCAACATGATTGTGTACATGTACACTTCAGCATCTGAAGGATATTCTTTATTGTAATGATTTTTCATAGTGGATCATGGGCTAATTCATTCCTTACTGGATAATGTTGGATCATGACATAATTCCTGATTTACAGGATAATGAACTACATGACACTGTGACATATTTCTTGACTGTTTTGTGTTATATTAAATCCAGGTAGAAAAGTAGATAACAGCCAGGTCTTCACTGGAACTCAAATGTTGTATCTGAGCTCGATTTATCAAAGGAAATAAGTGATCAGTATATATTATTTTGATGACTTCATACATGAGCATATTCCTCTTACAAAGTAACAGTTCAGAATATAAATGTATGAACTAAAGATGCAACTAGAAGGAAACAAGTATTTCATTTTCTGACTGCTAGGCCTACTACTTTCATTTTTTTACTGCCTTGTTAGTGTCAGTCCTTATTTTTGTATTGATACAGGTGATCTCTGTGTGGATGTACAAGGACATAGTTCCATAACATGGGTTTCCATTTCCAATTAGAAGTTTGAATTTATTTTTACTGTTTTGTACCATTTAAACATATGCATCTTTAGCCCTATTGAAGTCTTGGGGAGCTTTTGCCATTGACTTCAACAGGCTCAGGATTTCACCCTTAATTTATACTATTTTCATGTTATCTTTCCCCTCTTGAAATGTTATGATATAGAAGAGAATGTGGCATGCTCTTCTCTTGGATCATTTGAAATATACGCACCTAACATTATTTAAGATTTAGGCATGAATTATGAAGTCTCAGATTTCAGTTGTTTTGCAAATGTGTTAACAGTGTAGTCTAAGAGAATTTTGTTACTCTACCTTTATCTGTTTACTTGAAGAAAACTGCAGAAAAATAAAATTTCACTTTAGTTGTTTCTGTAGCATGCGATTTCCAGCCTTTTGGATTGAACACTTCTTCAAGCACAAATTATTTGCAATTGCCCATTGATACATTTTATCAAATGTAAGTGTGTGATAATGTGTTGCCTTTATTGATAACATCTTGCTTCACTTGTTTGGCAAGTTCTCATTTACATACATATCTGTTGCATGTATCCCTGTGTGTGTGCATGTGGTAGGCAGCTATTGATCCTCTGGATCATGGTGTATGTATAAGAGGTCTAGTCAGTTTCTGATGAGTGCACTTGTATGGAGTCCTGTGACCATTACACCACAATACTTTCAATGAATGTGTGTAGGGAAGAGTATGAAGGAGCAGAGGCTAGGCAAGATCTACCATCCCCTACTTTAGACCGAATCCAATGGGCAGTCTGAGTCCAGATGTTCAGTGCCTCAATGGTTGTAGCTTCTGCCACAGAGGAACAAGCAGGAACTGCTGTTGACTGCGTAATGCCTCAGCAAGGGTGCAGGTCTGTCAGGATGATGTCCCTTAGCATTTCTCCAATCAAGGAGGACCCACAAGGCAGTGGGTCTAGGGTGTTGAGTTGCCCTATGCTCACCTTACTCTGTAGGTTGCAACATTTTAGTATTTCATAGGAGCCACTGCAGCAGGCAACAGTTGCCAGGGCGCTTCATGGTCCATGGGGTCCCAGGCTGTCCCAGTGGTGAGTGATGAACCCACAGGCAGACATCACACCTTCCTGCATACTCACCCCAGATAGGGCAGGCAAGTGGTGGGAGATGCACCCTTCACCATGTGCCCAATTCCCAGGCAGGACTGGAAGCAGGAAGCTAGGTTCCACCTAGACCTGGAGCCCAGATGAGGCTGAGAGCAAGTAGTTGGCATGCCTGGTGCTGCCTCTACAGCTGGGAGGCTGCAGTTGTAGCCAAATGATGAGCCCCACAGGGGCTCTCAGCATCTGGCATTGGCCACAAGGCACATATGGACATGCGGGGGTCCGAGTTGGCTCAGTTCACCCTGGAACTTCCCTTATAGGGCAGCTCCAGGCCCAGGAGCAAGGGAGGTAGAGGTGGCATAGGTGCTGGGCTATGCTACTTCCTTCCACCAGAGCCAAGGATATTGCATGAGAGACCAGCCTGACCCAGGCTCTCACAGTGAAAAGGTGGGCCAAGCACCCATGACACTAGGGCTCCATATGACAACAGCGAAAGGCTAGAGGGTCATTGCTCCTCCCACAGAATCTGGGGCCTTCATTAATTTATCTGTAGTTGGTGGATTTTTAGGGTTGCAGGTTGAACATTGAACTACAGCCCATCTCCATTCAACCTTTATAAGCCAAGCAGAGACCAATCAAGTTCAACAGAAATATGTATTGGAAACCATAACAAAGATATCACAACAGCAGAACTCTGATCAACTGTATACACAAACACTGAAGCTAAACTATAACAAGAAAATATAATGCTCTTATGGAACCTGCTAGATGTCATTATGGTGCAGCATCAGGGCCTACCCTGTGGCTCACTGACACCGAGGTGACTGTAACCCTTGACAGCTCTCAGATCCTTCCCCCTTAAGGGTTCTCGGATCTAAAACTATATAGTAGAGAGGGCGATAGTGTTTTCAAATCTCAATACTTATTTGGTAACCTATCTCCAGGGAAGTATCCAGGTAAGTATCCTTACGTTCAAGATCATCTTCAAATCGCTCCTTTCCCCATAGATCACCATCACACACACACACACACCATTCACCTTAGACTGTACATTATTTGTACGCAATTCTCCTCACAGGATTTCCTTTTTATACCATTCCAGTCACCCCACTGGTCAATCACAGTGCACATGTCTTCACTGTCTCTGCACTCAGCACCTGTTCTGGTGCACATGTTACTCAACTCATCCATATGATACACTGTGCATGTCCCATAGGCACAATTGGGTCACTGACATCATTAAGGTGGAAAATTCAGCTGTTCTGTAACCTTCACACCTCTAGAGTGCACATGCCTGTATACAACAGCAGTAACATGCCTGTATAACAACAGCAGGAACCTGACCACCTAATTCTGATGTGATATGGACGTTGCTGGTGGTAGACCCTTATCAGAGTAATGGCTCAGCCAGCCCGTGTCGGTTCCAGATTGTTCTGTTCTTCTTTCTGAATTAGACCTTTTCTTTGGTGTCTTCCTCAGTACCAACACAGTAACACAAGAAGTGGAAAGGGGTTGGGTGTAGGGGAGGTGGAGTCCCATAGAAGATGCCCAGACACTGAGACTTGTACCCATCTCAACATACCGCAATGTGTCAGGTACCATCTCCTGATATCCTTTTCATTAACGTCAAGTTGTAGCAAGCAGGATATAGAGCTAAGGGGGCAAAACACCCATTAAGAGCGGCAGCTGGGCCCCACCCTGGTGTGGCCCTTCAGCCCAGGTTCCACTACAGCCACCTTATCACACTGCCACCAGGTCCTCCAGTTGGATGCAGTTTACAGTCATACCCAGGACCAAGGTAGATAGGTGTGTATGTTAGTGTATGTGTGCCTGTGTAATAAATATATGCATATGTATGTATATACAGGCGTCATGGCATGGGATCCTAAGGGTGGCGGTGATCTCCCCTAGTGCCCCCTACTGTGTCAAGTTTGCTTCACAGCACCCTCGTTCTCGCCCGCCATGTCGTGATCTTAAATATATTAAAGGGAGGCTGCCTTTCCATCCCCTTGGTCATGGTGCTCCTGCTACCCGCATCTTGCTTCTATAATGGGGTTCCAGGCACCCCAGCCTTAAGGGCTATGCATGGCTCCAACCACCCCTGTACCCAGCCCCAAGCCTCACAGATGTACCAGACATTGTTTGGTCTTAGCCGCAGCCCTTGCCTCTCTCTGCACCCTCTGGTTCTCTGGCTTTCTGTAGCCTTGTCTTGCAACCACACCCACAGGCGTTTGCCAATCACTGCCCCCCTTGCTCTGGGGCATCTCATGCTGGCCCCCTTGCTCTGGGGTTTCCACAGCATTGGGGCTCAGGTGGCCATAACCATGCCTCACCCCAACTCTCCTCCTCAGGGTCTCAAACCCCCACAGGGCTCAGGCAGCCTCAGCCTTACCTGGCCTCCAACTCACCACACCCCTTCTCAGGGCTGGGATCAGTGCACCCCAAAATGCTGCACCCTCTCTGGTACTGGGGTCCCTGTGCTACCATGGAGCCCCTATGAGGCCTCCTCCAGCTCCTAATAGCCTCACCCGAACCACCAGTTGTAAACCACAAACAGAAAACTCAAGCCCCTAGGCTATAACATAAATTTAAGCCATTGGGCTATAACCATATTCAAGCCACTTCCAGGTTTCTCCATCTTACCAGTATCATATTGTTCAGGCTTTCTGACGTCTTCCTTTCCCTCACTCAAGCAGAGCTCCCACCCCTTTAGCAGCCAGCAGGGAACTGCCTGCCTGGCTTCAGCCTGGGTTTAAATGGGAGCCAGGCCTTGCCTCTTCCGGTCAGCTGACTCCCACTGGTTGCCCTAGCAACCAGCACCTGTGCCTCTTTATTACTACTCTGGCTGCCCTGGTAAACAGCAGCTGAGCTCTCCACTCACTGCTAGGGTTCTCTCTCTAGCTGTTGCCCCTCTAAGGAGCAGGGCACCTATGTGCTCTGTGACACACCTCCACTCTTTATAGGAGCACAGCACCAAAGTGCTCTGCAAAAACATGTATTTGTTTGGCTGGCATAACCAAAGGAAAATACATTAATTTTCAATGAGAAGCTCAAATTTCTAAAGCTTTTACTTTATAAAAAAAAAAAAAAAAGTATCTCAGACTTGCTGAACATGATATTCATCACATTTGTTCTTTATGTTGGCTAGTTTGTGTATGGTAGCTGACTTTTCCGTTTCAGGATTTGTACTGGATGGACAATCAGAATTCAGTTACAGGGCTGTTTTCTTTTATTTTCTGTCTCGCCACGTCCTGAGGTGATGTGAGGGGTCAAGTTAGCTTTCACAATGTTCTTTCCCTTTCTCACTTTATTTTAAACTAACCAATAGATTTTACTATGTCTGGTCTTGTTTTTATTAAAATGTTTTGAATGCCTTTCTATCAAACACAAGGGTAAAACTGATAATACATCATCTCTAAAACAATACAAAAAGCTCTCCTTTTTTAATTAAATATCATAAAGGATTGCAGTATGCACATTTATAGATGTTGTTTTCATGTCACTGTGGTGGGGAAATTGAGATTTCTTTTTATAAAGAGTGGCATTTTAAAAAGACATACATGCATAAAGAGTCTGGGGAATATGCAATTGTAAGGACCATGCTTGCATAGAAGGACAAAAATGTCCAAAACAAAACTATAATAAAAACAAGTTTGTATTAAATACCTCAAGTGTGTGGTACACTGCACCTGTTGTTTTTATATTATGCAAATATTTGCACATATTTCTTTCATGATCCAAGGCATATTGATAAATAGTCATTGTGTAAATGACTGAGGTGTGTTGTTATCTTGTGAGTATTAATGAAAGGCAAAAGAACAGTTTTTGGCTATAAATATAAGGACAGTACCAGGGGTGGATCCAGAGGGGGTGTAGTGGCATGGTCACAACTGCCTTTTGGACCGTATTACAGGAGCAGCAGCTGGGGGTGTTTCTAAGTCCCTGAAGGAGTTAAGCTCCTTCCTCCAATACCTACCTCCTTCACTTCCATACTGAGTGGCACCTCCCCTCTCTTTCCTGCCCCCACCCCTCATCCACCACTGCCACTGCCCTCAGCTGATCTGGGGATGGGGGAGCTCCAGAGCTGCTCCTGCCCCACTGTGCAAGGAACTGGGGGCAGCAGAGGAAGAGGTCCCTTTCCTCCCTGGTCCCCCCTAGGTATTTCCCACCAGCAAGCTCAGGGAGGGGGAACCTGCGACTGTCACTGTTGTCTCCAGTGGAGCCCAATTCCCATTGCAGCTGCTTCTTGCAGCCCCTGAGTGGACAGAGGGATGAAATCTGACAGATCTCTGCTTCTTTGTGTG